AAAAGGCAACACACCAAACGGCAAACAACGGATGAAACCAACACAAAAATGTTGGGTAAACCAAACGGTTTGAGTTTACAAGCCTGAACCAATAAATTGTAACTTACCCTAATTCCAAGTCCTGATACCTGCAATAAAAGAAGCAACAAGAACAGTACATCTGCAGGGAAGTAGTTCACTTGTCACTGACCCTCTTTTTCCCTTCTCTTTCTATTCCAAAAAGATGCCAGGTTAGTCCTTTTCCCCCACCTATTTTTTTCTTCTTTGATCTGTAAATTTTATAGATCTGTTTCATCACATTTATGCCTTTTCATGGTATCTGAGGTCCCAACCAAAAACTGAATACAGAAACAATTTACAAGATTTGTTTCCTATGTGCGGTTAGGCTGCCTCTCCAATATGGATGGCTAAAACTGTCCCATTTTGACTAGTACTTGAATCTTATCAATCTTTTCTTAAATTTAACATTTTTGTGCAAATTTGCTCCAAGACTTTCAAACAGATCCTCCAGCTTGTCCTTATGTTGACTGCAAATTTAAGTGTCAAGGAAAATATTAGTATATTAGGAAAGGATGTATTACAAATATCAAATATGTACCTGAGAGATATTAGGGATGTGATTGAGAGAATAATGGAATATGTTTAGAATATTTCTAAGAATATGATTGATGTTTAGTTCTTGGGCATTGTAAATAATAGAGTATAACAGGGCCCTAAGATTGAGACTCTGATTTGTGCCAATCTTCTTTCACATGGTACCAGAGCCAGGTCAATTTAAGAGACCTCTTTTCCTTCTCAACCTCGGGGTAGTCAAGGGGGTTTTGTCGCCAATGTCATCTTTGCGCTTCCCCTCAGTAACTTCAAGATCACAAAAGATTTAGGTTTAATCTTCTTCAAATCTATCAGCATCATTGATTCCCAAATATTCATTGATCAATCAAAAAACCTAACCGCCAAAAAAAACTTGCCCAAAAAAACCACAAAAGATCCAAGCCACAAAAACCCACATCTTCTGTGTAACTGTCCATCATGAACCATAACCAAAATTACAGCACGCTGAAACAGAAACCCTGGAGTTACTTTTCACCGTGAACAGTACTAACCAGTATAGTTCATGTAATTGTAAACAGTAGTTATGTTTGTCTGTTGATTCTTTTGGAACGTTGCTAATTTTCAAACGGCAACGTGCCTTGCTATTGCCATCTTTCTTGATAAAAGAACGCCAAAATCAAGATCGAGTAGGCAAGCGACCGATGGATAGATAGAGGGTTTTCCTTTCTGATTTTCCACTTCCACCACTAAAATCGCCTAGGCTTTCCAATTTTTCTGGTTCCCCGTATTGTTTTTGACCCTAATATAGGTTTCTGGGTCTTAACACCTATGTCAATGGTCTCCCATTTCTGGCTGGTTGTCCACATTTCTAGTTGTCTATTGATGTGGTTATCTACTTATCTAGCTGTCTACCGATCACATAAGAGAGGATTTACTTGTGATCTTTGCCTGCCTCTACTCATTTCTGTCTCTTGTGCTCAGTAACTTCTGGCAGTGACTACAGCCTTCTAACTAATACTTTCTGAGATTTATGGCTACTTAGGTGAAGTAAACGGAGAGATAATGTCTTCCACCACTCCTGGCAAATAACATTATCAAACCTCTTTCAATTTGTTTTGTTCCCATGTGTACCAAGTTGGGCATATATAATAGATATTCTCAGCCAGAGGGGAATTGCTAAGGAACATATTAGTATATTAGGAAAAGATATATTAGGAAAATATTAGGGATATGACTGAGAGAAATGAATAAAGGAAAACACACTAAGAATACTTTTAGCATGTTCCATAGCGAATTCCTAAGAATGTGCACCACTTGTTTTACTACAGAGTGCTAGGCAGGTTAGAAGACAATATTAACTACAAATCTATTCCTGCTTTTTCTCTTTCCTGTAGCTCTTCTTCTTTGTTTAAAGCTTAACTCACATTTCGGCAGCGGATGCTGCTCGAGCTAAAGATATGCCCCCCACTCTTGAACAGCTCTCACTTGCCTTGGCCGATAGCTTAGATGACCGGCCGTTAGGCATGGTTACCCATTATTTAACAGTACGCCTCTTGTTTGGTGAGCCAACCCCAACAATGGCTTCACCCAAGGATGAAGGTAGTAGAACAGGAGCCGCAAAGATTAGATCACAGCCTTCCTATGTGCGTCTTCGTTGTTCAAGCGAAACTCACTTTCCAGTAGCGAATGAATGTAGCTCGGGCAGAGGCGGTCGGTGGCCTAAGAAAGACCTACCAACAGATTAGGATGAAATCAAAAACGCCAGCAAGGACGGAGATCAGGGCCAACTACGAAGGTAGGCGCGCAGGGGATAAGGTTGAGAGCTACACCTTGAAGGGCTGAGTAGGAGCCCTCAAAAGCGAGTCTCAGGGCCCACAAGGAGCAGGGCAGGAAGACCCAGGGAAGGAATATCGGTAGCTGAACACAGGACATTCCAGGAGGTATGAAGGCAGGAAATAATGCCTTTGCCAATAGCTTAGATGACCGACCGTTAGGCATGGTTACCAATTATTTAACAGTACGACTCTTGTTTGGTGAGCCAACCCCAACAATGGCTTCACCCAAGGATGAAGGTAGTAGAACAGGAGCCACAAAGATTACATCACAGCCCTCCTATGTGCATCTTCGTTGTTCAAGCGAAACTCACTTTCCAGTAGCAAATGAATGTAGCTCAGGCAGAGGCAACAATAGACTATAACAGGGCTCTAAGAGTGAATCTCTGATTTAAGCCCATCTTCATTAACATGAACATAAGCTGGCTTTATGTTGCCCCTTTGTAACACGCTTTGTTTTGGTGACAATTGAGACACCAAGTCAAGCCCATACATCTATGCTAAAAAAAACAAAGAAAAACAGAAGAAAGGCTAACGAGAGACATCATGACATTATCAAAAGCTAAGATATATAGACCAAATAAGAATATAAAAACATCCCTTTAATGTTTGAATGATACAACAGTAGAATATGAAGATTGTAGAGTCATACTACTGAGGGATCGCTTAACAATACATCACAGGTATGCAATTTTACAGTTTACCTAGTGAAAACCCAGAATAAAAACAATTTCCAACTAAGTTCATTATGATAGGTTCAATTATGTTGGCTCTTTAGTGGAAAGATGGACATCCCTAATAAGATTAGAGCTGGTATGCTGACCTGATGAAAATGACTACCAATGACATTCAAGGGAAAATGGTATAGAATGGAACATTATTTTAGCCATGGTTTCAAATATCTACAGAAATCGAGATGCATGCATAGTCTAATGGGTAGGTCAATGGTCTTCTTAACCTTCATTACAGGTTCAAATCTATTAGATGCAATTATTCTATTCATTTTTTAAAATGGTGATACCATGAACCCTTTTCAATTTATTCAAATAAAAAAGAATCAGTTTGCAAGGATTGCCCGTGTACTAGAAACAAAATCGCAGTGATAAATTTATTCTTTTTCCTTAAGTAGAAACAGTTCGGTATGCTCCTGACTAGCTTATTTCAGAAAGGTTTCTGCTTGCTTGGTGAATCATACCGACTTGTTTCTGTCTAAACTCTATCCCTTAACATTATTTGTATCAAACTGTGTTGAATTCTTCATGAAACTAGCCTATAATTAGATCACCATTATCTACACGGACCCAAAACATACCGTTGGGAAGTGATTTCAGTAAATAAACCTTCAAGAATCAAATTTTGCTCTTTCATTCCTAGGTAGCCTTAAAGTATCACTAGCAACCACTGACGGAAGAGTTATGTAAGTTACTGTTGGTAATCAAATTTTAACCGACATAATCTCAACCCACTACTATATTATCAGATTCAGTCAAACAGCATCCAGAATCAGCCAGAGCTTATAATTCCGGCAAATTTCTGGTCACAATGGACCAATGTTCTAAGGTCACAATGGACCAATGTTCCAACAGGATATAACATTTAGTCGGATTATAAGCCGGTTAAACGAAGTATACGGAGCTAGGCGGATTTGAATTTTTTAATATATACATTAACAATAAAATACATTTAATTTACCTAATCAAATTGGTATATGTTCACCTCATCCTAATCTTAAATCAAAGCAAATATCTTAATGCTATTTAAATAATATCAAGCATATAAATGAAAAATTATATACCAATGCTCCTTCCTCTTCAACTTAATTAAAGGACCTTGGTGTAGATTCCATCTCTTGCCATCTGCCATATTAGAGGGAGCTCAGGGAGGCAATGTTTCCACATGGCCATTAAAAGCATTCTCATTTTCAACAGGATCACACGATTGAATGATATGCATTTGACCAACATGTAAGTGCAAGCTTAAAAGGGGGAAAAGAACAAAAGGAGCTTGGACAAAGCAACATTAAACAAAATTTAAACTTTTTCTGTTGAAGCTTACGCTTGATAGGCGCCGAGACAAAGCGGCAGTAACCTTGGTAGAAATAAAGAAGAAACATCGATGCCGACATCACTTGAAGAAGAATCTGTGATGGTGACGGATTTTTAGGGTTCACGATGAGAAGATACGCGACAATGGAGGCAACGACAAGAAGAAGAAATGGTGACGATAAGAGGTGTGACTAGAAGAGTAAACAATGACGAACTGAGGAGAAGAGGATAGGAGGCAATGGGTTTTAAAGTTTTTTTGTGAGAAGAACCATGTTAAAATGGAGAGCGAAACTGGGTTTTTTTTTGTATTTAATGTAAGAGGTAACAAATTATTAGACTTAAAACTCAAATGCAATAGGCGCAAAACGAAAACAGCTTCGTCATGCTGTGTGACAGAATAATGTAGCAAATCAGCGCAAATCTGTCCCACAGCACAGCCCAAACCCACACAGATTTGAGTCGATTCTGCTTATTCAGCTAAGCAAAATGTTTTTTTTTAACACTGCAAAGGACAGAAACGAGCAACACCAACCCTTCACACATAAAACCATGTAAAAATTAAATGGGAAAAATAAGAAGCCCACAAACCCATGCGCAGGTGGGGGACGGGGTTGGAGGTTTATTGCCATCGCACCAGCAATTACCAGAATCTTCCTATCTCCCAAATAGGCTTTTGTTAGGTGAGAGTTAAAAAGGTATTGCAACCCACCCACAAAAGAAAGCATTGATAGGAGAGCCCACACCATCTACATTTTAATTGTCAGACCCTTTTAAGTTTTGCTAGCCTGAATGTGTACCAGCTTATGTAGCATAGGACTTTACCTTAGCGCAGCATTCTATTTGTATGTAATATGTATTAGGACGGGACGAGATATAACCTTGAGGTACGACAAATCACATAAACCATGAACCCCAAAATCGTATAAATGGTGAAAAATAAGCAAAATGATCTGGAAGAATAAACATCCACAGAATATGCAAACGTATTTATAAACGCCAGCATTTATTTCCAACATTAGATGTATAAAGCACGTGAACATTAAGTGTCTTGCATGTCATGTTGCCAGATATGAACATGGGCCTCAAAAGTATTTTCACATTGCAACAAAGATTAAGTTCCTAATTTTAACAGGTTCAGGACGTTAGGTCTAGAATCCGTAACACTTCCAGTAAAAGACGGCCTTTTCATTCCTTCCAGCGGAGAACTTTCAGCATGCAACCATCCAAATATTTTAGATGTGTAATTATCCAATTTCAACGAGCCACAAGTTAAAACAAAAGAAACAATGCATTCTCAACCAAACTCAACGTAACATTTATAAAGTCTAATAAAAATTAAAAAATAAGAAAACATTATATAGATTACTAATATATAAAGATAAATAAAATAAAAATAAGCTCAAACTAATAAACAGCTGAACTCATGTGCATGGGTAGAACGCAAAACTTAAGAAACATACAAATTTTTAAACAAAATTACCATAACAACAAATAAGATATTTAAATTCAATATGAACATTTTTTCCCCATAAAAATCAATATGAACATTTGTGAAGATCGAAGGAATAAGATATTTCTTTAAAAAATTAAGTAACAACAATTTGAACAGGACTGGAATCTATAGTTTTTAAAATAAAATTGATGAATGTTACTATGAAAACATAGAAAGTAAAGCAAGTTGCAAAACTATATTAAACAATTCTTCATCAGAAATTTGCCATCCAATAGTTAACAAGACTTCATCAAGACCCGAACTTCATTAATTATTCAAAGGAAAACTCAAAATGTGACTAATTGTATTTACTACTTATTGATAATTTGTAATTATTTTATTGCTTTTTGAAAGCCATGGATACCAGCGATCCAATATTTTAACAAAAACTTCTGACAATGATATCGAAACTGAGAGCAAAACCAGTAAGATACCAAAAGTTCAGAAACTTTTGAGTAGATTTTTTGACAACGCAATGCTGAATTCATAAGATAAATACAAGAAAAACGGAAAAGATGAAAACAAAACTGGAAGAGATGAAATAAAATTATATGCTATGGATTGCTCAACAATGAACTGTCTCCACATGTAAATCAGTGAACCAAAAATGGAAAGCTAGGATGAATCACATAAAATGTGGTGCATAGTCACTGTCCCCAGATAGGTCACTGGAGAACAAATTTAAACAGTAACTCTGAGCATCACGGTGGCAAAGAGTTGCCCAGATCAAGAACAATAAAAAATTATCCAAATCTTTGGGCTTGCTATCTGAAATCTTTTCTTCCATTCACCTCAAAGGGTAATCATCTCCTCAACTAAAATCAATAATTATCCTGTTCTTCTTAGCTGTCTTTATCCAAGCTCATCCTTAACTAATTAATTTTCTCGATATCACCAAGTATTCATCATTATTCATTCATCCTCCCAATTTTTCTACAAGTGCACTCCATTTGCAATTTCATTACTTCTAAACTCTTTAGATTCTGAAGCTTATCTTCACTTTCTATTTTGGAAATAATACTTTTCTGGTTTCATTAACAAATATTGTACCCTCAAAAACACACAAAGAGACTTAATCTTGAAATGCAGAATAAGATCCACCATAACTAATGTAAATAGGAAATCTTGGAGATGGAGAGTAAATCATCGATATCTTAGGTAAAGCAACAGGCTCATATACTAGGGTAAATATCTAAGATGGAGATGGAGATTAGCATATAATAATGTGATACAGACGGATGCTAGGGTAAATATCTACACCAAGGTCCTTTATTGGTATTGATGTCATGAAGTTCTTCCCTGCATCTTAAAAAAGAAGCAATTTAACACTTTCCACGAGGCACTAGAAATATTTTGATATCAAGTGTTCCAATTAACAGCAAGAGATCAACAATTTAAACTAGAATGCAAAAAGGGGCCCTATGGTAGTTAGGTTTTCTAACCTACTCTATCTTTAGTACTATTGAGTGATAGCCATAGTAGTCACCGATGTAGACAGAGGAGGAATAAGGAAAAATAAGAAACAACACTAAGGGGTAAAAGGAAAACAACTTCAATATGTCTCATCACATACCTCTGGGAATGGAGAGGAAATCCTGTTGACTGCAATGAACCCACGTTTGACCCCACATACCTTACCCTATCACCTAAATAAGGAATTTCAAATTAATAAATTGAGAATGCAGTTGATAAGGACTTACAAATAAAAATAAAAATTTATATAATGTGCAGAAGGTGTAACTAATTATAATGATTAAATGAGGAAATATCGTGCCTTCTTTAAATGAATAGGCTTTTGATGATGCTGTTGATGCCTCCTGCTTTGGTAAAGACTGCGAATTAGATGTCCCAGCAATATCAGCCTCTACACTAGAAACAGGCCTTTTAAGATGTAAAGTATCAGCCAGTACAGCTCGTTGCTTAGAGAATATGCCAGCTTTTTCTGCCTTAGCCCCTTCTTTTAAAGATTCTACCTCCTTCGAAGATGTGCCCTGGAATAATTTGCTAGGGATCTCAGTATGAAAACTTCAAGTACTATCATGTTCTCAAGGTTCAGAAAGAAGTTCCCACAGCATAGAGAAGGTTAATGAGCATAGAAATGAAGTTACAATATAAACTTTTGAGGTAGTTTTTTTTTCAAAGAACTGTATAAGGCAAAAGGTATAATTACTACATTCAGCATCAATAGTAAGGATAAAGTTCAATGTGTTAAACCCTAGCAGCTCCTTGAGTCAACATGCTAAGAATAGTTAGCAAATAAGAAGCTTTTAATGAGCAGTTTGTAGAAAATATGTACGTATGCGTGTACATATGTATATACATATGTGCATATGTATATATAGGAAGCCCTATATTAATTTTTACACCACTACCATGCAATAACAAATTAAGTTAAATTGCATAAAATCAGCAGAAACTTACACCAGGAAGGAGAAGGGAATCTATTATCAACAATTTGGCACCAAACTGTTTAGTAAGTGCTTTTGCTAGAGTTTCTTGATATATTTCAGATCCTGACAAAGCAGAGAAAATTTTATTCACATACAGCCACACAAAACAAAACAAAATGTATGAGGTAAAACAAATGAAGCTCAAGAAAGACAGAAGAAGCCAGCATACCTATGGGACCAGATAAAAGTATACGCTGGCATAAAGAAGAAATCTCTGAGGCAAACTTCATTTTGCATTCCAGATGTACATACGCACATGATAAAAGAACTTTCTTTGTATTCTCACTGGGTAGAATAACAAAACATGACGAAAAATTGGTCAGTTGAAGTAGGTCCAATAACTTAAAAAACATTAATTAAACAGAATAAGTTCGTGTGACAAGTTTTCTGATGAAGCCAAATTTTGTCAGAGATCCAAGCATGCGCATTAGCTTTGCAGCAGCACAAAAATACGCGCCATGTCACATATCAAACAGAGAACCATGACATGATAAACCCAAAACAAAGAATTAACGAAAAGGAATTCAGCACTGAAATGTCCATAAGCCTTCTTAAAAGCAAACAGAAGAGACTCAGTGACCTCCCTCCCCACCCCACCCCCACCCCCAAAATAAAGAAAAAAAAAGAGAAAAGAAACCAAAAGAAACACACCTTCATCTCCCCTAAGAGGACACTGCAAATCCTCTCAGAACTGCAATCGGGTCCAAAATTCCCCATTACAATCTTTAGAGTTTTAATCTGTATATGAGATTCTTTCAAGAGGCATTTAACTCCATTTTGTTCAACATGAAATTTTGTGCTTTCCCAGCTCTACTTTTTTATCAAATAATAAACTCTAACGATAAAATGAGTTACATTGTTTAAACACTAAACTCAATTAGGATTTGTGTTAAATTCAATAAGGTTTACACGATCTTTTCTACCTAATATCTAACACAAAGAACATTTTCTCTGGACAATTTTCTGTGAAAGTGGAAAACATTTGAATAGAATAATTGTAACTATTAAAGGTTATGGAACAGTCCGCATTTGACAGTAAATACAACAGTTCTTTATGGTTTGCCTATCTTTCTATGCCAAAGAATATTTATTGTTTATTGAATGGCAAGGATTAAGGCCAGCTAAAATCTAATTCTGATAGCAAAATATCAAAAAAAAGTGTTTTTCAAACTCAATCAAATGAATGTTTTTAAACATGATAACATTGATAAGGCCAAAAAACTAATAAATGTGCACTACAGAACACAATGATACAAAAATCTCTGGAGTAAGAATATAGAATGCTCCTTGAGCACATAAACACAATGTCATAATCCACTAAATAGCTATCAGAACTCAAATAGTTGTAAGAAATGGAAATAAACATGAATTACAGTTGAGATTTCTACTATTGTTGTTATGTTTTTTTCCAATTGCCCTAGCATTTTACGACTATAAGAAAGGAAAATAACCAAATAATACAAACTAAGAGAGTCTCACATAGGATTACAAGGAACCTTTTCTCACATACTTAAAAGGAACCTCTACAGAATTTGAACCTTCACTAATAGCAAAATAAATGGTTGACTTCCTATTTCTGTACATCAAAGCACTTTGTAATAGATCAAAGAGATTTTGTTATCAACGACTTCTAAGCTTCAAATTCCTATGAAAATAACAAAGGTGTCAGTTCACATAGGGGAACTCCTCACGTCAAGGATGGCTGTTTGAAATATGAACTCCCACTCAGGAACATAATCCATTCTTAACTGCCTATTTGTGCACATCAAATTGGTTTGTGGATAATTTGAAATGTTATCACCAAAGACTTCTAAGATTTAAGAAGCTATGAAAAGAAAAAAGGTTCAAATAAAATATGTTCTCACTTCATTTAAGAAAAGATATGTATATAGAATTTGTTCCCATAATAGCAAGAAATAAATGGATTCGTATTTTCTTCTGCATATTAAATTCTTTTGTGGGTAGACAAAAAAGTATTAAGAACTTCTAATAGTTTAGGCATATATGAACAGAACTCTGAGGAATCAATTTGAGGGCACCCATGTTTTCATGAAATATTTTTTTATTAATATCTAAAAGATATTTCTGATGATTGCATAATATATTTCTTTGGATATACTTTTATATATTAAGAGAATGAAACAAAAAATATCTGGCCCATTTTTGGAAAAATGTCTTTGAAAAATGAATTTCATCATTAATAATTAAATAAATAAGCGAGACATAAAGTGTTATGAATGATCTTATGAAAATTTCTGAAAAGATCATTTTATAACTAAACTTTTATTATTAGTCGCAGATTACTGTTAGTTTTCTGGAACACTTGACGACAGCTTATGGTAATGCTTTTGTAGTTACGCCTAACAGGATCAAAAGGTCAATTCATCATTGTATTTGATACCTCACGGTATGGGATTTTATCAGTTAAAGACTTTCTGTGGTACATATGCATGGTAAAGCAAGTTTACGGGGTTTTATATAGTATGCTGAAACTTCACAATAGTTTCTAGTGGTTTAGCCTAGAAGGAACTACAAATAACGGATCAAAACAGAAATTTTATGCATGCTCTCAAAATTAAGTACAGGATCAAAAAAAATTACCTAACATAATAGGGGAAGGATTCAAAAGAAACTTCAATATCACTAGCATTAAGAATCCCTTTCTTCAAATTGTCCTTAAAGGCTTGGCATTTTGCGGAGGGCAGAGTTGATGAAGAAGCAATGTCCTTTAGAACCTCTCTTTGATCCTCAAGCATTTTATAGATGCTCCCACTAAAATCCAAGTCGGGAGTGGTTGATCCTACAAAAAAGCATCAGGCTATCAACTTAAAAGAAAAGCACTTCATCATTATGATAATCATGGCATTTCTCAACATTGTGATCAATATTGAAATTCAGAATACAAATAGGCTTTTCAAATCCCTCCTAATAATTATCACCATTTGGTGGTTGAGGTGGAAGAGCTGGCACATCTTTGCTAAGGTTTGAAAAGGATGCCAATAATGATGCTTCATCATCAGCCGATTGGTCACCTGATCCGGACTCAAAAGTAATTTCTTTCATAGATAAATCCTCCGCTTCTGCAATGCTATGTGAAGAAGGCAAAACCTGGGTGGTTGTATTAGAAAGCTGCTGAAAGATCTGCAAAGGGTATTAAAGAAATATCTTTCAAAGAAAGAAAGAAAAAACAGAACAAAGATACTGAGGCAATTAGTAGAAAACAAGTTATACAAACTTAAAAAGGATACATAGGCATGTTTCCCAGATGAGCTAAAAACAACTTCATCTCCTGCCGTGAGAATGACATTGGTATTCTTCTCCATGATCTTTCCATTAACTTGCACAACTCCTTTGCTTCCCAAAGTTTCAAGAGAAGCAACAGATGAACCAGCTTGCTGAAAAAAAATAAAAAGGACAATTCGATCGTGTGATAAATAGAATATTCGACTTTTAACTTAAAGATTTATCAGATCTGAACAATATGACAAGTCGGTACCTCCTCCAGCTTCAGCTTACAGAGAATTGAGCTGACAAGTGGATCCTTTAGGCGCAAATTGCAGGTTCGGCTACAACCAACAGTGAATTGTGGACCACATATAGGAAGATGAGGATTCTGTACACAATAATTTTAAGGAATCAACATCTAACATGAAATTTTTATCAGCAGTCATTAGAAGGAAATGGAGGGAGAGGGAACAAGGAGCTAAAAGGATAGTGAACAATGAGAAACTGGCAGGTATACACTGCTGTACTTAATGCATTTCTGTGTGCATCATCCTATGGAGTCGTTACAATGAGAAACCGAGAAAATTGATAAGCTATCATAATAGTATAAATCTACTAGGCAGTATGTCTAAGAAAATCTTCTCATAAAACCTTGAAGACCAGTAAGTAGGAGGCAAAAAATGCTTCACTGAGACCATGCAGTTTATGCATGAGCAAACAAGGAGAAACTCTCCAGCATTTCTATAGAAAGAATGTAAGTGATGAAGGAGAAACAAACACATGCAACAAGACATCACCTATTTTCAAGAAGCAGAATCCTTATTATAATAAAGCTTTTCCATCCCAATGCTAAGATACAGGGTAAATTCTAAACTGTATCCAAAAGAAATCAACCTGAGTATATTCACATGGTAAGAACTTCCAAATTTTGTGATTGGTTGCCAAGCTAAGATCAACCTGAGTTTGTAAGAAATTCCAAAAGAAGTTATGAACAGTGAAAATATTCATATAAAGTCAGCATCCAAGTAGATCAACTGGAATGCAGGGGGATCTACGATAATTGATGTCCGCCTAAAAACTCTTAGAATAAAAATCTAGAAAATCCAAAAAAGAAGAATATCATAGTTCTGAAAAGTCAGTAGACTCCAGTGCACAATAAGAAATCAAGTAGCATCAGCATATTCCCACATAATACAAATGGGGGGAACATTGCAATTGACTTAAGTACTTGCATATTGCTACACATACCTGTAATCTGAATGATCTCATGAAAAGATGCCTAAACACTAGAACGAATAAGTTTTTATAAAACATATCCGCATTTTGATAAAATAAGTATAGTAATTACAAAAAAAAACTTATCTTTGAGTAGCACTTTCATCTTGGATAAAATCAGAAGTGTGACTTACAACAAAAAACAAGAGATCAAGACAAAAACATCATTACTTCTCATCCTAAGTGGTTAACCAATAAGCATACATAGAATATTACTGTTACACCTTCTCTTATTTTTATCCGCATTTTGATAAAATAAGTATAGTAATTACAAAAAAAAACTTATCTTTGAGTAGCACTTTCATCTTGGATAAAATCAGAAGTGTGACTTACAACAAAAAACAAGAGATCAAGACAAAAACATCATTACTTCTCATCCTAAGTGGTTAACCAATAAGCATACATAGAATATTACTGTTACACCTTCTCTTATTTTACTGGGAGAAGAAAGTGCCATTGAAAAAATGGGTTTGAGGAAGAATTTTGGAAAGAAAAAAAGTTGGAAGGGGCATAGATTTAGAAATTGCGTATGGATTTGAATGTTATCTTAAAGAAAAAATGAAGAACATGTCAAAATTTAAATTTAATGGCATATTCTTCAATCTAAATGGCAGCTCACAATGGGATAAATTTGGAGTAACTTCTGTGAATTAGAAGGCTAGGAATTAATAGCATTTTCCATAATTTGAGAGAGCAATTCAAAACATGAAGAATTTTGGGATCCATATCCCAATTAAAAAAAACCTTCCCTGTTCGTGCTGCCATACCTAGGGCATCAGCTTACCATAAGAAAGGCATAAGAAATGGAATTGCTATAATGTAGTGATTTGCATAATTGAATCAACTGTCACAAGCAACATGTTCTTCTGTTATTTTGAGTAGCACATCTGCTTACTCTAAGACCACACTAAACAAACAGTAAGCTTGCAAAATAGCACTTCCACAAATAGCAAAAGTTTCAAAATGAGTAAAATAAGTAGGTGAAGGCGGAGAATTAGGGCAAAATTAGAACAAAATGAGAGGACTTAAGAACTTAAAGGGGTAGGGTGAATTGAGCAGAACTAAAAAAAATCCCAACAGTAACCCCATTCCACATAACCTTCTAACTTTCAATATTATTTTCAGAAACACCCCAAAACTTCTGACATTATTATCCCTTGTCACACCGTTAGGTGGGTATATTGAAATTATGAGGGGATCAAATAAGCTCAAGAAGCTCAGAACGTACAGTTCCAATCAAAATCACATGTGAGAGCCTAAACACCCATAATTAACATTCCACAATAAGGTTTTTGGGTACAAAGAATTATGTGGCTTGACATGCATGTCCACAAAAATGAAAAAAAAAAGTTGGTTGTCCTCTGGAGTTCCCTCAGACACTTCAATAAAGATATCCGAAGTATATATTGAGGACGTTTCGTCTCTAATATTGAAGTGTATGGGGGAACTCTGGCGGGCAATCAACATTTTCCTCATAGGTTTGGAATTACTTGATGAATACTACAAACATGTTGCTTATCCCCGGGAGTTCCCTCAAACACTTCGTTATATAACTCGATCTCTCTGATACCAGGGAGGTAGTATTCTACTGAATTGTTTGGGGGAACTCTGGATGGTAATCAAACACAGATGGGGATGTAAATATGCATGCGTGCAGTCGGATGAAAGAAGTTTGTTATAGGTCCATAGCTGCATTTATACGTGTTTCTTTCTTCTTCTTTGCATAAAACAGTATATTTCTCAATGCTTTCATTAAAAAAGAATCTAGAACATTAAGATAATAAAGGACCAGATAATAAGCTATTATAGGATGACCTCTAGAAGAAAGAAATGGAGATTTTTATATTCAGTCTTATTTTAAAAAAAAATATTTTAAAAGCATGCTCCATGTATGTAGTATAAGATGTAATTGAATCAACTGTCACAAGCAACATGTTCTTCTGTTATTTTTAGTAGCACATCTACTTACTCTAAGACCACACTAAACAAACCGGAAGCTTGCAAAATAGCACTTCCACAAATAGCAGAAGTTTCAAAATGAGTAAAATAAGTAGGTGAAGGCGGAGAATTAGGGCAAAATTAGAACAAAATGAGAGGACTTAAGAACTTAAAGGGGATATGGTGAATTGAGCAGAACTAACACTTAGATATAGAGTTTTGTATAGAGGATTGAAGAAGAAGAAGAAATACCTTCCTGAATGCCCAAATTCTGAAAATTGTGGAGATGAATGCGTAGGTGTCGCATTGATGATTAGGGCATAAATACTCATCTTGATGAATGGAAGATCCTGGGACGGAGTGAAGGCTAACCGATGGACTCTTTGGCTTCGGCGGAGAGGAAGACGACTGGAAGATCGTGGGACGGCGAGAAGGCTAACCGATGGACTAAAAAAAATCTGAGGTGTATCTAACAGAACTACCTCATCAATAGGAACAAAATCCGGTACATACCTGTACATATTCCTTTCATGCAACATCTTGACCGGTTCAAGCTCGGATAGAACTGGAAGAAAAAATAAACAAAACAAATTAGAATTCAAGAGTGCAGTTACCCAGCAGAACCTAAGTCCATCCTTCCAAAGTATGTAGAAAACAGAACGAGACTAATTTCAATTAGTATGATAATGCAAATATATATATAGGAAATTGCACGGTATCACACTTTAATTTCAAAATTTTAACCCGACCTTATAAGTTATTGATTTACCAAACATATAACTACTTATATCTCCTTATAAGTTAATACTTATAAATTTTGTTGAGAATAAGTAATAAATAACTTATAATGACTCAAAAAATAAGTAGTAGTGAAACATGCTCAAAAAACAACTTATTTGTAAACAAACATCATACTTCGCTTACATGTAGATGAAATTTACTTTCGCACTTGGAGCATGTTTGATATGAGGCAAAAGTGTATCGTAGTAAATGCTGCATGCTACACATTGTAGAAAATCCATTTCAAATAAATTTGTCAGGGCTATTTGCAATTTTCTTTCGAAAAATGTATTTCAAGTGCAATTCAATATTTGGTTAAAGACCAATCGGTGCAAAACCTGCGTTGGTTTCTCTAGATTGAATTATACAAAAAATTTATTTGATAAGGTGACATATTTTTCGTTATCAATTTCTTTTTTT